AAAAAAAAAAAAAAATCAAGTTTTCACTGATCTGGCGGTTTTCAATAAAATTCAGTAATTGTTCATTTGCAGCTGTTTATCTTTTTCCACGTCTGTAATCTGTAAGTATTATACACCAGCAATAAAAGGCCGTATACGGAGGAGGAGTAAGAAACCTGTTTGTTTAGAGAGGCGACTTTTTTCTCCGACTCCAACTTACTAATATCAATAGCTTCATTTTCGCCTACTTTCTCATTTTTTTCTCCTTCTGAAATTAAAAAATATTTTTTTTGTCCATTATAATGCCAGATTTTTTGCACGTTTAGAAGTCGAGAAACATTTAAATAATTAACCACTAAAAGATTCACACCTAAAATACTTACCGCTGGTTCCAGAATTATGTTCGCGAAGCCTTTTGACTTGCATTGAAAGTTCCATATTTTTATGTTCCAAATCAGTGATTGTAGCAATCATGGCACTTATATCACGCTGTACTTCCGGCGTTAGATCAATAAATACGGGAAGCTAAAATCCAGCTAACAATCAATTGTGTCCTTCCAAATAATTTTTTGCTTCCTTCAACAATCAACTGTAACCCAGAACTTTCCAATTCCATCGTCTAATGTTAAGAGAATAAAAAACGTTAGAAGTTTAGCACGATAAAATAAACAAAAAAAGCTTCTAACTAATAATCTGTAACATATAGATACTTTATTTAAAGCAGCAACATCGATGCCTTCTCGGTAAGGCTTCTTTGAATCCGTCTCTAACTCCTGGATCCTAAAAAACAAAAAAAAATTGAAAAAATTTTATGTCACTTCCAGTAATACATCTTTCAGTTTCAAAATTTTCATTGCCATCGAGTGATTTTTCTAAACCAAAAGTGAAATCAAATTTTCTGATCTTGCCTCTTGGTCAAATAAGTATTCTTCTGTTCTAATCGTTCTACTTTGGTCGTTAAGTGTTCTACTTCGTGTTCGGCCAATTCCAATTGTATCTGAGCGTGGCCCTCGCTAAAAAAATTCTTGTTCATTTTCATTTGTAATATAAAGCTTGTTAATACCGTTCTGATAAGCATAAAAGAGCGCTAGAGTCTTATGAAAAAATTTTTTCAAAGAAGTGTGAAACAAAAAATTACCAACAAAATTTCCTTATCACAGTCAGTAGCTTCAAAACTTATAACGAATTTTTTTGTTTCAATAACAGAAGACTATAATTAACTATTATTTAGAACCTTTTGATTTAATAACTCTATTATTTATTTGGTATTTTCCAGCAGTACCTTGTCAAGAATAACGTCAAGATTAACATAACAGAAAACAGAAAGAACATGTAAGGAATAAAAAAACGGAAAGTAAAAAGCAAAACGAAATGCGACAAGGTTACGGTACAAACTGAATTAGCAGACAATGGACAGACAAGCAATGTTTAACGAAGAAAAAAAGCCGGATAGGCAGTTAGTGATTTTTGAAAGTAGAAAATTCTACAGCAATGAAACAATGTTAAAAATACAATTCTTTTCTTATCAGATAAAGTATATGTTCTTCGTTTTTGAATGTACGGAAGTTTTTGCCTCAGTAAGACCGTGAAAAAAAAAACAGTTATCGACCAGTAGTTGTTTTTGTATGCTTTAAATAAACCAAAAGCAAAAAATAAAATAAAATGGTCATAAGCATGATCATAAATTTTCAAGAATTCTAGAAGTTTTTTGGCAGGACACTGTGCTTCAAGCGCATGCAAAATAAAGCTGCTTGTTTACAAGAGAAGAAAGGCGGCCTGTGATTGTTGGGTTGGGAGATGAACTTCTCAATGGCATGCTTACCTTTAAAATAATTAATTTCCGTTTACAGAAATATACCCGATGACGTAGAGTTGTGCCAAAAATTCCAGTAGAACTAAAAAAAGGAATGGACCGCCAAAAAAAGGAAAAAAACCCAAGAAAGAAACAGAGCTTTGTTGACAGAAAAAATAAAACTAACAAAAAAAAACATATAAGGTAAGAAAAAAGATAGAATTAAAGTTTGTTGGCACATTTAGGCAAATTTAGTGATTAGGTTAATTTGAAGTTGTCGTCCTTTTCTAAACCTTTTGCTTTTTTCCTTTCTTCTTATTTTTCCTTTGGTGAGGTTAAAGTTGGACGAAACAAGTTGTTAAGAGCGTACTTTCCAGTTTACTGACCTTACTGAACGCGTCATGGGCGGTCTTTTTGAGCTGGATAATCGTGTCAACTTTCTTAACAGTTCCTCATTTTCATTTTCCAAATCCTGACATATTTGATAACATCAGCGAGCAGTACAGCATCTTTCAACCAGTAATATGCAGAAAAAATTCTCAAGAAACTCCTTCTCGTACGTTATTTACACCGTGTAATGTGCTTCAACAATAAATGGCTACAAAAATTCATACTTGTATCCTAAGCCTAGTTCGTTTCAGATCTTCTTCTGCAAACTTCAGTTGATCTCTTAGGTCACTTTCCCTTTCAAGAACGTCTCGCATTTCCTTGCCAACATCCCCAGCATTTAGCGGTACTGTTACCTCAGTGCTCGAACGTTTCTGAAAACTCAACTCAATTAGCCCTATTACACTAACAAGTAGTTTGAGGTAATATTTCAAGGTATTATCTAATATTCTTCAAACAAAATTTTCCATTGTAAAACCTTAAAAATGGATTTTTTATTGCGAACATACCGTTTGTTGTTCTACTCGGTTCCTTGCTTCACGCCACTTATTTTGAGTTTGTAATTCCCTAACTTTTTCCTTTAAATAAAACGCTTCATCCTATAAAACAAATTTGCACTTTTTACTATCACAGTTGACTTGTCTTCTTTTAAAGTAACATTTTCAAGTGAGTAAAAATACCATTAAGTTTGATAATGCATCAATTTACTTTAATAAATTCTAACAGAAGAAAGTTAAAATCGGTTTGTTAGCAGAAGATAAATACAATAATACAAAAAAATTAAATTTGAACCTCAAGTTTATATCGCCTTTCTTCAGCGTTCTCTAGTTCGTTATGCAAACGTACAGACACTTCCTTGGCTATCCGAAGCTCTGATTCTAGTTCTTTAATACGAATGGAATCTGATGGTTTTCCGCTAGACTGATTCTCATCGCTGAGGTTTTGCGAAGACGCTTGAAGAAGATCCTAAAAAAGATTTAGCCAAGTAGTTATCGTATATTTGTTTTTTTTCGGCAAAATTTGAAAATATAATTCACCTTAACTTTGGCTTCCAGATGCTGTTTTTCAGTATCCAACTGCTCTTTTAATCTTTCAGATTTTCGTAATTTAAACTGCAGGATACGGCAGTTTTTGGCGTTTTGTTCCAACTCTCTCTGCAGTTCGCGAAATTCATCGATCTCTTCCTCGCGGTATTGATCCTGGAAAAAAAAAACAAAGGAAACAAATAAATGATATCTGTCAGCAATCGTCGAACTACATTACAGACGGCTTTTATAATTAATGATCATACAGCACTGATAAGGCACCATACTGGGAATGAACCAGAAAAAAACTTCTACAAACAATAACCTAATTTGTTACCTATTTTTTTCCAAGCGAAAATTTATATCAGGTAAGTAGTTTA